GAGATTTTCGGAACCATTCCGAGAGATTCGAAACCATTTCGAATCTCGGAACTATTCCGAAATTGGAAACCATTGCGAAATTCGGAACCATTTCGAATCTCGGAATTTTTTTACGAATGGCGGGCCATAAAGAAAGGGAGTCAGCAGACACAGTTTTAGATTGTGCTACACTCTGCTTGCTGGACAATAATAGGGAACTTAAGCACCAGACGTTTTCTAGGGGGCGGCGGCAACTGGAAGTCAAATTTAATTCTGGTCCACATTTCCTGCCGACTTCGTTTTGCTCATTTTGACGTCCCCTGTAAAACGTGAGTGTCTTTTTTATAATTTTCGTGCTTTTATATGATTTTGCTCCTGAAATTTTGTTCGTATTGATGCTTGAGCTGTTATTCTATAGTTGAGGAACTTGCATGAACGGTTGTCATGTATTTATTGTCATTGTTTGAATATTTTAGACTCTGCTGTGAAGATGGCTACCAGTAAACAACGTGCAATGGAATGGATAGATGAGCATGACGTTCTTCTTTTGCGTGAAATGATTGCAAGTGAATTGTTCCAGTTCAAGAAAGGCAGTCCAGACCGTGGTTGAATCTGGGAATCAATCCACAAAAGATTGAACAAACTCAATAATCCAAAATTTATGATAAAGGAAAAAAGGGGCGTCAGAGATCGACGGAATCTGCTTCAGACCAAGTTTAAACGCACTCAGTGAGAAGAGCTTCAAGCTAGTGGCATCGATTGTGAGTTGTCGGAAAAGGATGCGCTCATAGAGGAGCTATGTGAGAAAGAAGATATCTTTTCCGCTAAATGAGTATTTGCTCGCAAATAAAAAATGTTATGTCACCTACACAATAATAAGTAGTAGTTTACACAGTTTAAAGTAGGGTTGAGGTGGTTGATTTGGTCATCTGATAAATGTTCGTCGACATGTACATGTGATTCTCTTGGCCTTTGCTACTTATTATATAATAGGCAAAAGGTACAGTCATGTAAAGTAGTGATCACAAGATAATCAGGAGATCTCAGGGACCACAAAAATATATTTCTCTAGTAATAAAAATCGTCTGAACCCAACACGACTTATGAAAGAATGAAAGAAAAACAAAGGATTTCAAAATCCAAAGTACTTGTTTCTGTGAGCACCAAAATTGCTATAAATAGCACTAAATTTAATGCCCAGAATATTGGAAATTGCATTTCCCAGTTTCTAGATTTCAAACTTTTGCAACCAGAAAGCCTCTAGTTTGGACACTGCATCCTATTCCAATATCAGGAGCTGCTTACTACAAACTTATTCAAAAGCCCTGTACGTAGCTACCTAATATTTAACTTGGCCACCAGATCAAAACCTACTGGTCTGGAGTAACCTACAGTATTAATAACCGAAGGACTAGTGACTTACACAATTATAAATTCCCTTCACAATCTTCCGATGGGCCAGTCTTGGAAAAACCTCCTTAAAGTCATTCTCATCCATCTCGGGGAAGTCTTCTTCAGTGATAGTGTTTTCCATTTATAAGTATAAGGAAATAATTGCAATAAAAAATTGTATATGGCATTTTTTCTGTACCAAAAAGGACATGTCAACTTTAATGCTAGTCAAAATTGATTGCAGAATTCAAACTTGTCTGTTTAAAGCAGCTTTTATAGTTTCACTTTAGTATACAAATTTCTCCAAAAAGCGGTCCAAACGTCCCATATCAGGTACAGCAGAATCACTGTCTTTGCATTGATTCTGGAATATAAAATTAAACATGCAGATTTCGACTTTACGATGGAATAAAAAATGGTATGTATAAAAATTCATGCTGTGCCAAATTTGTGACAAAAACATCTACCACACATAACTGGAAACTTGCAGCCATGAAAAAAAGTGTAAAAGAAATAACGAAACGTAAGATTGTTAAGTTAACCCTTCAAATTTCGACGGAACACTTTATCCTGCACAAAATGAAAAGACAGTTTCAGCAAGCGACTCCGATATTTCAAGAAAGTGCTGGAACATTCCCTACAATATTTGAGTGTTTATCCACTATGAATTAACAACAATTTTAAAAAATCTAACCTTCAAAAGTCACGATAACCTCGTAAGGAACCGTAGGAAAGCGTCTTTGGAACCATGAAATAAATTCGCTGCTTTCGTCCAAGGCTTTGCATTCATCTCGTAATGACGCGTGAGAAGACATCTTCAACTACGGTGGCCCACAAGGGTCACTACGCATTCTCTCACATCATATATGAATTATTAAGTACGCATTTCAAATTATGCACAACACATTCCAAATTCCTCGAAACACATCTTAAATTTACTACAAGTTCTGAAATCTTCACAACACATTTCAACATCTTCGCAAAACATTTCGAAATCTTCACAACACATTCGCCCCAGGACCCCAAGATGAGTAGCACAGTCACCCCTCCATTTACTTTTAGAAGGGGTCAAAAACCATTTTGTTTCATTTTTACAAATTAACTGGCTATAAGGCTTCTGTTTTACATGGATACAACTAATTACTTAAAACTTTCTGCTCAACATCGGTTCTATGCTAATTAGACTCGTATCAGTTTTTCCCATGATGTAATGCGGGTGTGGCAAGATTTTAGTTTTTAGAAAATATAGTCACCGAAGCTAAACAAAAGTTACAGGAATCACGCAGAAGCGGCAAATATTTTTTTGTTATTCAAGCATGCACACAGACAACATGTTTCAGGGGAGGTTGTCCAACAAACTGTCGAGCTGCTCACGCTGCCATCGTGCCATGAAGGAGTGCCTGGGGTATTCGACAAGGAGCTCCTTGAAATAGCCAAAGAGCTCAGATGGTGGTGTCTCCTTCTGTACTAGGGCGATCTTCTTCTTCTCTTGGCCATTAGTAAGGAACTTCCCTGTTGAAACATACTCATAACGTGACCAGCTGACAGTTCCCTCTCCTGAAGTCTCCTCTGGCAGGAACTCAATATTGTCTACACCACATTCTGTGCATTCACGCTCTAAGCATTTGATGTTGTGATAGTTGATGCCTTCTGGCTTCGGACAAAGGGTTTTTTCTGCAGCCTCTGTTACGCTTTTGGTGACAAATGATTCGTCTATATTGGCAGACTTTTTTACAAGCTCCTTACGGTATTTCATGCAGCTTTTAAACACTATTTGCATTTCCACATGTTTCCTGCATAAACAAGACCTCCTATCACGTTCCTTTGCCTGCTTCACAAAGAAAGGCTTCAAGCTTTCAAACTTCCTTTGGCGAATCTTCACTTCTGGGTGTAGCTCAAGGAATTCTCTAAAAGCATCAGTTTGCATTTTTTCCAGCACATGCTTAGCGTGTTTCACATACTCTTCTTTTCCAATGCGTTGTTTTAAAACATCCTTCTTGTCTCCTGTAGGATGACTTGCCGTATGAGCCTAGTAGTTGAAGACTTTTTTGGCGTCTTCCTCCGATATAGCATCTTGCCGAACCTTTCTCTTAGTATAAAGCCAGCTGGGTGTGTCACCTTTGAGAATGCTTTCTCGACGTTTGATGGCTTTACTAATGCTTTTTTCATTGAGGTTAACTAGTTTCCCTAAGGATCTTTTCGCTCTTGACTTCTTAATATTTTCTCCAAAAGCCAAAGATTTAAATGCGGTAAATGCTGCTCTCTTTTCGTTTGACCCTGAAGCCTTGACTTTGGCAAGTCCGCTGGAAATGTCAGAAGCTAGTGCTTTGAGCGTAGCTACCTCTCTTTGTTCCTCTGGTGTAGTAACCACTCCCCTCTTTTTCAGTTGTTTTCTTGTTCTCGAACTACTTACTAAGCTTTCTAGAACAGCTGCCTTTTTGGCTGGTGAAGCTGGGAGGGTAGTTTTCACCTTATCAGTCGCGCATTTTTTCGACGTCCTGTTCGGAAATGTGGCGCCCCCGCCCAGAATTTCTTCCACATTACTCTCCTGTCTCCATCTTTCACGATATTTTCGGACTTTCTCTCTTGTCTACTCTCTGATTAATACTCTCTTGGCTTGAACAGAATCTCGGATAGACCATCTTTTTTCCTTGATCTGATCTCTCTCCTGATTGCGCTTGAGTTCGCGTCTAGTTGTGGGAGGTCGCGTGGGAAGCTCTCCTTTCTCTTGCCTTCTTTGTTTGACTTGAGCGATCTTTTTCTCGCGATTCTGAAGGTAATATGCTCTATCTAGCTCTCTTTTTTTTGCAGCTTTCTCTCTTGAGCTGCTTTCTTGCGTGAAATTAGAATATTGTGCTTTGATATTGTTTCTTCCATTCACACTCTCGACCTTTTGTCTTTACAAGTGACTAATCGCACGTGTCTGAAGGTTTTCTTCTTTGCAACTTGCTATTTTTAAACAAACGATGACAGAAACCCTGAGAAACAAACCAGGACACCCCCAAGCTAATTCTAGAAGCATGTGACTGATATGCGAGGAACAGGCGAACGGAGAAGGTTGCGAATTGCGCTGAATTTCCTCGCGGTTTTGTAGATTCCTTCCTGAGTTACGCTTTGTGAACACGGTCATCATTGCAAAAAGTGTTTCCGAATTGCTCATTAGCGAATATCTCGCTTCATATCAGCTAGAAATGGCTAGAAATCCAGGGAAATTTGATGATTCTAAGCCCAAATGAGTGAGTACCGTTCATTGTACTGGTTCAAGAAATTTGTCCTGTTTATCTGTCCTAGCCAGAGGCAGTTTGAAGTTATTTTACTCGTAACAAAAAGTGTTTCCTAATTGTGCTTTCCACTCCCAAGCGAATTCTATTCTAATTATTATGCTGAACGTTTGTGTCTAGCTCCTTTCAACATTGCCCAAAACAGTGCTGTTGTCGGTTTGTAGTGTTTATTTCATTGTCAACCTTAAATGTGAACTTTATTTTTTGGTGCCGCAGACAAATTTGCAAGCATTACACACAGCAACAGCTAGTTCTTAAATCACTTTTGGTTTCATTTTTACTGCGTGAAATAAAAATTATTCTTTGAAACTTGAGTTGTCAATTTGTTTCAGTTGGGTGTATTGTGAGACGGAATTATTTAACCGCAGCCACTGTATGTTGTGAGAAAAAAATACATTTTCTAACCTTTTGCCGGTATTTGCAGCGCTATTTCTGTAATGCGTTACAACCACATTTTGGGGTATTCGTTAAATTTATTATTTTTTCCCGTTTTAGTCTTGCTTGTGAATTTTGGTATTTTACATCAGTTAGAATTGGTGGTGTTTTCTTTCTTTAACTAAAAAATTTCAGAAAAATGCGTTGAATACTTCTCGAGTTAGTTGGACTTGAAGTCCGTTAGGTATGATATGTGGCTAAATGGAGGGGTGATTGTGCTATGCATCCAAGTGTTGGCAGAGAAAAAGGAACCGTTACACAGCTCCTCCCTCTTCCTTCAACGCCATGTTTTGTTCCACGTGTGGAGAGGCTTTGCAAGTTTCATTCAAATTTTGTCCTAAATGTGGGAAGGATCTTGCAAATAACAAAGAAATAAAGGTGGGAGATGAAACCAGCAGGAAGAATAATCTGTCTTTTAAAGAATTTAAAGAAACGAAAGAGAAACAATGGGCCACGTTTTTCAGAAAGAAACGTGGCAGAGGAAAAGGGAGCGGCAAACAGCAGGAAGATCTCAGTGATATTGTCAAGATTAATATCGGTATTATGGTACCGGATAGTGGTCAGCTAAGGAGAGTGCGAGGAAAAAGCTTAACAGTAAATGTCCCGAAAAATGTGAGGGCAAGCATGCTTCTCGAGGCTAGGGCTGAGAAGCACAAAGCACACTCAAAAGATATAAAACAAGAGTATAATTATGTGTTGCTTTATGAAGATCGCACTGAGGTAAAAACTCTTAAGGAATCATCAGAGGCGTTTGTCCTGTACAAATACAAGAACGAATGTGGAAAGCCCTATAACAGGTTGAAATTCTTTCTCAATTCTGTGTGAAGCATTAGAATTTACTCAAACAACTTAAGAAAGATTCATTGAATCAAATCCAGCATCGACCCTTTCAAGTGCAGAAAATAATGAAGAGGACATTGTAGAACAGGTGCATGTAAAGCGTATAAAAAGAGCAAAGTTGTCAAGTGTTTTCGAGGAAGATTCAGAGGACGATCTGCAATCCATGCTGTCCTCTGTAGGTACACTGAACTTTAGCACTGAAGTTGCCAGCACAGCTAGAGCACAACCTGATTGCAACCTTAAAACACTTAAGGATATATTTCCCAATAGAGAGGAGCATTTACTTGGGGCAGCCCCCTTGACAATACCAATAACATCAATTTGGCAATCAGTGAAATCATTGAAAAGTCATCATTTTCACCTGTACCAGAACTATCTTCACATGACATATGTGCATCATTAAACTTTTGTACTGACATTACAGGAGATGCAGAGTTTGAGGACAACAACATGGATATTACCTTTGGACCTACTACATGTACTTCTACTACTCAAGATAATCAAGATAGTGCTTTTGAAAATTCATTGTGAAAGCTAGCCACAGAAAAGGTTCAAAGAGATAAGCCTCTTAGAATTAAAGTCAGAAGGAGAAACGACCAAGGTGGGCCACGTAATGAGTTTTTTCTTTGTTACATAGAGAGGTATGTGGTTCTAACATGTTTCTTGGCAATGAAACCTGCAAGCTGTTTAATCACAACCTTTTAGCCTTGGAACAAAGGAACTACTTTATCTATGGTCAGCTATGTTCTCTTGCTATAATGCAAGGATCCCACCTTCTTTCTTGTCTTCAACTTTGGCAGACTACATTGTCTTTGGAGAACAGAGCAGAGCTCAGTCTCGAATTGATGATGTTTTTGATATAGAAGTAAGAGACAAGCTGAAGGAGCTCAAGATTATTGAGGATCCAGAAGAATTTAAGCGTGCTGCATCCTTTGAATGTGCACTTAGATTCGACGCAGGCTTTTGTAAGCCCATTGTCACCATAGAGATAAAGTGAAGATGCTGCATATTATTACTTTGCATTATGCTTTACTTCAATCATTAGCTGAGGTGAATCAGTTTATTGAGGGACTCAAGCTAAATGGCCTTCTTGAGTGCATGCGACAGCACCCTTATGAAGCCAGGAAGCTGTTCATCTATGAAAACAACCAGATTTCAGGAGAAGAACTTGACGATCTTTTGGTCCCATTATTTGCCAAGCCTGGAAGCAACAAAAGAGAATTGGAAGAGAGGGTGTCTTTCAATTTTACCAGGTACCTTGAAGATGTCAATGATGCAGAGGTTAAGGGGACCATTGACGATTTTAACACAGCGGAAAAATCTCACATTGTTATCACAGCAGGCGTGGTGTTGTAGTTCATTACAGGCTCATATCAAGTTCCAGCTCTTAAGTTCGACCCTGTACCTTCTCTGAAATTCCTTCATGACGATCCAGGGCAAAAAGTGAGTGCTAATACATGTAGCAACACCCTTACTCAACCAGAAAGTTCTAAGTACTTAGACTATGATTTGTTCCATGAAGAGATTACCATTTGTATATTAGATTCACCTGGATTTGGAAATGTGTAGCTTTGTTTGTACATTATCAAATTTTGTGATGTTGACTGAGCGCATTCAAGTTTGTTGTAGATGCATTTTGAATAAGCAGTTATGCTTTTAGTGTTAGGCAGATCTGCTTGCAAGAATGTGCAATTCTGTTTCACATGTATCTCTATGGCCATGTCACCACCTGTCTTTGAACTTATATCTTTAGCTCTGAGTTTGTAAATGTCTAGTAGTAAATATCACGGTATGGTATAACAAAACTAAACAAATTTTTATTCTTTAGGACATATCAACAGCTTCTGATTTGGTAATAATATAATGAACGATTATCCCATTGGTAGAAATTTGCAGTAATTCAGGTGGGGGGCTGTAGGAATCACACAAGAATAAGCCAATCAAATTTCCGTCCTGTTAATACGTAATCATTAGGTACGACAGTTCACCTTTCACTTGGGAGCTCTGTCGCTCTGTTGCGACTGTTGCGCGTGTGGCATTACTTTTTTAGTATGCCTCCAAAAAGAAAAAACTTCAAAGGCCGTAGTCCTAATGTACCATGGTACATCGAAAGCTGCGGAAATGAGGAAGATATAGGGAGCCTTGTCTTGTCTAATCTCGCAGCGAGCACAAGGCTCGCAGCAGAAAATGAAAGCCAGGCACACGACAAGAAAACGAGTCTGACCTTTCAGTTCCGGCTCATGTCTTTGGAGCAGTTTTCTCAGCAAAATGGAGATGATGCTGTGTCGTTTGGGCCTAGCAAAAGGCGGGTTTTGGCGGCAACAATTCAGACAGACATGCATAAGTTTGTCAGTGTAATGCTTCTCTACTTGTATGATGTATGCGAATTGTTGTGCTAAAAAAACTTGGTATTTATCCTGTATGTAATGAAGTCGTAGCGAGATAACACAAGAAAAATGTTTAAACATATTTTCGTTTTTTGGTAATTCTTGTGCGACTTGAAAGACTACCGTGGCTAAGTAAACTTAATGTTCTGTGAATGTAGCCGATCGATCACCGTGCTAGTTAGTAAATAATAAGCTTAAGCTTTTAGCATGTGACAGCCATTTTTTCGTGCTCGCTTTTGGTCCTTATCACTTGTTTCCTTGTCCCAAAAACCCAAGAGCCAGGAAAAGGCCATCTGAGGCAATTTCAAAGCTGCTACAAGAAGCTTGCGTCTTGATTATTTAACATGTAAAAGAATGGAGTAATTGATCCTCTGATTTCACACCTCTTGAAAGCTGAAAGTACCTTTCACCATGCACAGCTTGGTAGATTTCACACGTCTTAAAAAACTGAAAGTACCGTTCACCATGCAGAGCTTGGTAGAAGCTCTGCATGCTGATATAGATATATGCTCTGCATACTGATACAGGAAGCCCCATCTTGACGAGTACGCAACTGCTTGAGAAATTACTTTTTTTGTATGAGAATTTAATGCCGAATAATTTCCGTAAAATGACTGTTCTGAAAAAAAAATTGTAACTTAAAGCTGCCCATGAAAGGATTTTACTAACAAATTTTTGGGGCCGTTACTGAGCTAATATTTCCTTCAGACGCTTGCTTTGGATTTTCCATACGGAAAATTTTACTTTGCAGGAAGAGAAATTTTTACAGATGAATGTATAGAAAATTTTAAAAAGTGGATGTAGCTGCATGTAACACCCTCAAATTTTTTCAGTAGATTCGTTAGGAGTGAAGGTTTAGTTTCCTTTTTTTTAGAACAGCCGTTTTATGGAAATTATCCTACATTAGATTCTCATACAACAACTTTAATTTCTCAAGCAATTGCCTACTCATCAAGGCCTTTTGAATACGAGACAACAGTGGATGAGATGTTCTCAGGGTCTCTTCATGTGAAGTCAGGCTGGGTTGGTCTGGTTACTGAGGAATGAGATCGCTCCTCACCACCATAAAATTATTTGTAAAAATTTCTTGTTCAGATGTGAAGGTGAGTGTGATTGTTTCAAAACGCGACATGTTAAGGGCCTTATTACTATTGACATTTATGTAAAGCTGCCGGGATTTTTTGCCAAAATAGAATGGAATTTTGTGTGACTCTTGTGAAAGGGATTATTGCAGTCAGTATGCAAATTGTGCTGCAAATTTGGATATCACACATGACTGACCATTCACATAAAGTTGGAATAATCATTAAAAATGAGTTTATCTTTTTCTGATCTCTTGTCAACCATGGGCAAAATTATTTATCGCTAAACTTAATGGAAGTAAATCATGCACAGTCAATTCTATAGATAGCTTTTCTTAATCGTACGGGGCAATGTAAAACCGAAAAGATATATTGTGTCCTCGGAGCACGTTCCAATGTAATATGCCGGCCTGTTGGGCATATTTGCCCCCTCATTTTTTTTTCAAAATGCCTATTTTAAACTTTTCAGTGCTGTGTTATTTTATGCAGTTTTAATACACTCATGCTCCACTTAATTTTGTTTTTGTTGACTTCCATGTGCTTTATTTATTTTTCATATGTCGAGCTGGAAACATGATGTTTACACTTTTATAGGGGTGGCTCACTAATTTATTAAAAAACAAAACTATTTAATTTAATTTTTTTCAGAAATGTTAAGTGAGACAAAAGGCAAGAGGCTGGGAACACTCCGCTGTCGTGGCCTTAAGCCTCCAGTTGTGAGAGGCCATGCAGCAGCTTTCACATATTGGTTTAATGTTTTTGGGCACACAGGCCCTTACAGCCAATCCGTCAAAGTTTTACCAGATGGGTCCCAAAAAGTTATTGCCAAAGGGAATCCTATGAATTCCCCAGGTAAAGGAATAATTCTCTGCAGTTAAATTGATGATCTACGTGCACTTTAGCTCTACCTGTTTTTTCACTTGTTGGGGTCAAAATTTGGAATGGGATACCTCAAATTCTTAAAGAAAGACCGAAAAAAGCTTTTAAAAGATCACTAAAAGAAATGCTACCCGATATCCTTGAAACTGAAGACTCCTATATTGATGTGGATACGATCATTGTGGAAAAAGTGATTCTCTTGTCCTTTGTTTTCATTTCATTTTTAAAATTTCACTTTAATATTGTCCTTGCATTTAAGTAGAATAGTTTCTATTTAATGTGAAATATATATACTTATATAACGTCTAATTTCTTTGTATTTGTGTAGTTTGTAGTAAATTATGTAGCCTGGCCTTCCTCGAATAGCCTCGCTAACTGCAGGCCAGTCCCAATGACGTATCTTTTGTTATTTTTCCAAATTTAAATAACGTTGAAGTTGAAGTTGAAGTTGACCTGTGATTTATACCCACTCAGGGGAAATTAATTAATACATAATTGCAGGATATGCACATTTATGAAACAGTCTTCCTTTTATTTACAGACACCCAAGCACATTAGCGCAAATCTCAACAATTGCTTCAGTTTTGACATACACACACTAAATAACATATCAAAAGTTCCCTTTGAGATAAAAGTAGCTATAATCGGACATATTTAGAAAGTAGACATATGCGGTGCTTTGAATATAGGTCAATCAACCCCATTCATGACTGACGCCATTTTTAAAGCTTATCATTAGCACAGCAAGTAAATATTGCCAAAAAGTCAGTCCAAAATGGCAAAAAACTGATTGCAATTGAATAATCCAATAAACAACTTCATATAAGCAACATAAAGTGTCATTTTACAAAATATGGAGCCTATGCAGGTGTGTAAGGGTTAACAAAAGTTATCACAGTCCATCTAACTAACTATCCATCCAACCTGCTCACTGTTCTTGACTTTTTAGCCGTAAAACTTCAACTTTAACTTTAACTTTAACTTTATTTGATTTACCACAAAATACAAGTAACGATAAAACAAGACAGTTACACAAAAGCAAATGAAAGTGGCGAGGAAGCCCAAACAGAAACCATGAGGCTTATAGACATTGGGCTCCCTCAGAGTAAAAATAAAGTTAACAGTAACGGTAAGGCCAGGATCGAAAGCAAAATACAATGAAGGTAAGTATAACTTAACTAATTACATAGACTGAGTTGACAAAATATAAGGTATGGTACAAGTAACAATAAGTATAAAAATAATATCAGACATGGAAGAAATATAACTATATTTACTACAAGATTTATAACTAATAATTCATATATAATTTTTTTTTTCAATTTCGTTTTGAATACGTGGAGAGAATTAGATTCTTTAATATCATTTTTCCTGGAGCCAAATTGATTATCACATAGAATTTCTAGTTTACTTAAATAATTATAAAGACGGTTATAAACAACCTTTTCAAGAAACTTAGAAAAGCTAGGGAGAATCGAGATCGGTCTATAGTTCGTAAAGAGTGATCGATCACCAGCTTTAAAGAGTGGTATCACGCGAGCAATTATCATATGGTCGGGAACAATGCCATGAGAGATAGATAAATTGATTATATGAGCTAAAGGAACGGCTATAATTTGAATTGACTTTTTTATGATGGGAATGGGAATTCTATCATGGCCAGCTGCCTTACCTGGTCGAAAAGCATTGGAAATTTCCAATAGCTCATTTGGAGTCACTGGATCAAAAAACACCGATTGACAAAAGTGACCAGAGAGAAAACTGCGGTGAGAGACAGATGAGTGAATTTCTTTGGCTAGATTAGGTCCGATATTAGAAAAATAACTACAGAATCTATTAGCGATGTCTACTGGATCCGTAATTTCTTGGTTGTCAACTTTAAAGATGGAATTGATTTTAAACGCTTTCTTTTTTGTCTTAATAATTTCGTTTAGAACTCTCCATGTAGCTTTGGCATTTGATTTAGAAGCATCGATTTTGTTTTCGTAATATATACGTTTAGCGATTCTTAATGAGTGATTCAATTTGTTTTTGTAATTTTTATAACGAATTTCATAATGCAAAGATTGATTAGTGAGATACTGTCTATATAACTTATTTTTCGTTCTTATCGACTTCAGAAGTCCTTTCGATAACCAAGGCTTTCTCAAACGGTAATTGCTCGCCTTAGTTTTTTTTAAAGGAAAACATGAGTCATATGCCGTAGAGTATTGTTTGAAAAAGCTGTTATAGGCGTTATTTGGATCATCAAGAGTGGCATACTGAGACCAGTCAATTCTCTCCAAGTGCGATAGAAACTTAGTTGTGTTGACTTGATTTACATCTCGAACAAAAACAGTTTCATTAGATGCTGAGATTGAGGTGTCGAAATGAATAGAAAATATAGGCAGATGGTCAGAAATATCAGTGAAAAACAGTCCACTCCTGGATCTATCGAAAAATTGGTTGACGAAAATGTTGTCAATTAAAGTTGCCGAATGACAAGTTATTCTTGTAGGGCGCGTAATCAATGGAAAGAACATATTTGAATATAGCGCATCTAAAAATTCACCAGTAACGGAATGACATTGGTGGTTCATTAGATTTAAGTTAAAGTCACCCATTAAATAACATACCTTATTTTCTTTTGAAATCTTACTTAATAGCTCATTGGTCATTGTTAAAAATTCATCAACGTTTTGGTTTGGCGGTCTGTAAATCACACCAGCAACAATGTTCTTTCCCTGGGGCTTAACAATTTCAATAAACAAAGATTCTGCGACGTTTGGCAACGAAAAATCAAGATCGCATCGAAATTTAAAATTCAAATTGCTAGAAACATACAGACCAACTCCACCACCGGATCTATTTTCCCTACTTTTATGAACAAAACTGTAACCGTCGATGTCGACTGACGACGACGAATCATTTAGCCAAGTTTCGGAAATACCAATCAAAGAGAATTTTAAATTTACGTTAGACAAAAGATCCGTTAATTTGCTAGCATTACATTGTAGGCTACGAATGTTTAGATGCAGTAGAGAAAAGCTGTCACAAATATGCGAATCTTCACTAGATAGCATGTCATTAAATTGATCTTCAATAAAATATTCACAGTCATCGCTAAATAAATCCCTGAGATTGGTGTCAGGGTCAAGGTCAAATGAACGAGCTAGATTTGTTCTAATGTTGTGAAGTAAAGGATTGAAACTTAAACTAGCCAATCTATCAGCATCATAGCGAACAGGACCATTTTGCATTTCATAAATTGCTAGGTTGAAGTCAGCGTCATCAAGGTCGTTAAAGGGAAATGAAAATTCCGGAAAGACAGACATTTTCAATGTGGGGGAAAACAAAATTTACAAAAAAAAAAAAGAAAAAAACAAGGGGGAAATAGCAGTAATAAATGAATAACTTAGCTGTTCCCGACATTAGGTCTGTCTCTAATAACCAGTTTATCTAACACAAAATAAGCGATCTTCCCTGCTCTCTTGGCTGCTTCCATCTTTGCACGTTGACTTTCTCGTTTTTCAAGGGTTGCTGGAGATAGGTCTTCTTTCACAAATATATTGTCAGGTTTAATTCTTCGGGCACATTTCAGGATCGTTTCCCTCTCTTTCCAGTTACGAAGGCGACACACAATGGTTCGAGGACGACTTGCAGAATTCTGGGCCGAAGCTGGCCTACGCGAACTTTTACCCACGCGATGCGCTCTCTCAATGTCAGGAGCACTGGCGAGATTCAACTCGTCTTTCAAAACTTGCTTTACTTTAGCTTCAGTTTCTTCCCACGTTTCGTTATCCTCTTCGGGAATGCCATCGACTCTGACATTATTTCGCCTACTCTGATTTTCTAAATACTCCATTTGTTCTTCTTGATGGTCCAAGTCGTCTTGAATTTCTTCAATGGCGGAGTCCAGTTCTTGTAATTTAAGTAATGATGGTTTCAAGTCATCCATGTCCTTTTGCGAAAACTCAAGGCTGTTTTTCAGATCACCCGTTTCCTTTTCCGAACTAGCAATTCTTGCTTTTAACTCGGCTACTGAATGAGTTAAAGAGTCGAGGCGAGTGTTCACGTTAGTTACGATCGAGTCAAAGAAGCTCTTGAACATTCTTTCCTGCATCTGTAACATCTCGCGAAGCGTTGCCAGAGTTACAAACTCTCCTTGAACATTTACTTCAGCCGCCAAAAAACTAACTGAGGCTTTCGAATGACGTGTATCGGGCATATTTTGGACTAAAATTTTTGGTGATTTCGATCTTGGCCAGAGCAATCAAATCCTGCGTCCGCACACTACGCGTGCACATAAACAGACCAGACAGACCATAAAGCAGCTGGTGAGGAGGTCATCGCGGCCAACAAGAAAAGATGCACGTCAAGGGAGGGTGGCATACGAGCCTAAAAAGGCCCCTCCATTTACCCTCCATCAGTTGTTGAAAATGTGCGAATACTGCTTAAAGACAAAAGAGGTATTAATTTTGAATTTGAGAATGTGTATATAATGATTCTGCATATGTATATGTAGTGACTGTCATATACACCTATTTCAATTAAGGTTGTTCAGAGAAGAATGATGCATGATCCATGTTTCATAGCCAGCGGGTGCATTACTGTAGCAAGTCTAGCAAGAATAGCAAGTTTTGTACCCGCAATGAGCCTAGAAACCTAGAAAGCAAATGCTGCTGACGCTTCTATGCTATGTCAGCAGAACGTTATCTAAGACAATATATTTCGAAACACTGAATCCTAGGCTTTTTAATGTATACAGTGATTTGAGGTTAGGTTTTTCTCTGTGGAAATATGCAAATGCTGCAAATTTTCAACGAGTTTGCTTGGCTCGTGCACGTGGGAATTTTCGATGGAGTTAAATAAAAATGAAATTCAAGGTGTTTGTTCATGAACTACAATAAATAACTTAACGTTACGCAAATATCTATTTTAGAGGCCATTTTTTTAAACACTGAATAGAAAAAAGAATAGGCCAGTTGATTTGTTTTATTGAAATAACCAGCTTTCTGGCCCATGAGAAATGCAGCTTAGTCTGGCGGTAAAACCCTATTCATTTAATGTTGTTGAAAGAACAGGCTTCTAATTTCTTACTGTTAGGTTTTTAAAATGAAATTCTTCAGCTCACTTATGCTTAAGAATTTTAGCAGCCATTTGACTTGAAAGCTCTCTTGAACGTCTTTTCAAAAATGGTCTCCATTATTTCAATGAATGTGAACAAGACTAAACTTCCCGCTACAAAACAGTTTACCATAGTGCACTGCAGGCTATGAAACATGGTTCACGGGAGCAACCTTAATTGAAATAGGTGTATATATAAGTATCGTGCTAGAAAATAACCATACCCACACCAGCGAGGGTCACTCAATAGACATTCTGCCATTACGTTTTATATGAAAAGTATGGAGCTATATAGCTCCATTATATAATGGGGTTTTGAGAGGGAACTGAACTACAGAGAACTATGTAATTTATTAGAATAAACAATATGTAGATAGTTTTCCTCTTTTTAAACAGCTGTAAAATAGATGGTAATTCCAATTGTATAAATAGAGAGATGCCTTTTTAATTCTGTCTGCTGGGTATGTTTATTTGCTTGAGTTAACCTTGATAACAAGTTGCTGGTTGTTTTTATTCTTTTAAGGGAATGTGCGGATTGTGGCTTTGGACTTTGACTTTATTTTCATTTGCCCTTTTCCTCCCAGGTGAGGAACCTCTACGCGTTAAACTGTGTCATTTAAAACTGCCCCAAAACTATGCAGGTATGTTATACACATATATTTACAGTGAAGTCCGGTCACACTTTCCTAGGAAGAATAAAATTTAAACCTAATTAAGGTGTTATGAAAGGCTTAAATGTAAAAACACAACTTACCTTCATTTTTTGTCATATAGAAGGTTAAATGTTAATAAAAGGAATTCCCAGATTTGAGGTTTTGATTTGCAGTGGTTTTTAAGAAGTGATGGGTTAAAGTTTTGTTGTCAAGGCGCCATCTTGGGCCGCCATGTTGGATTCGTAGACACAAAAATGTTCAGCAGAAGCCAGTGGCATGCGCAGTGGGTTTGTTTTCGCCTGATTCCTCGTGACACCTCACGCGCTATTCTCGCGGCCTTCACTGCAAATATCCTGGCAAATATTCACTGGATTGGAAACAATTTCATTCATCATTTTGGTATGTTCGTATTTCTCGTTTTCTCCTTGTGAACCTTTGAGTTTCAAATAATCAAGGGTATGATTTTTATGTAGATCATGGGAGAAATTACGACTGCAAAACCACCTCCGAGAATGCGGGTAAGATTTGTTTGGTTGAATTATTTACTATCGATCATCTGATTCTACACATTTTAAATATTCTTATTGACCATCACTTCTTCTTTCTTTCAGCCTTGAATTACCCGTTCGGCTAAGAAAGCTTTTGGTAAATGTGAGGTCTCTATCGGGCAAACTGGACGACGCACCGGATAAAGACCTTCGAGCGTTTATATACTGGGAAATGTTCACGTTCCTAGCAGCAAGTACCCTCAAAACCAAATTGTCTGGTTTGCTTCTGCTTGGTATTGTGAATGTCATTCATTATTGAAGTAGAGTTTCTTCTTGACGAAACATATACACAAAAGTAAATACACGAGGATAGCTGTAGGTGTGAAATTCACAACTGTGCTGCATTCCATGTGCAAATCACTGAGTCTGATATACCTTGAGGCAGCTGTTTGGACCACAGATTCAGCTATATTATTGTTCCTGGTAGTTCATGGACGGCAAAGGCAAGAACGCTTAATTGCTACCGTACTTTCATTTGGATAACCGACTTATATTATTTTGAAATAAACCTAAACTGTGTGATTCACTTTTACATACAACAACTTTTAGGATTGAATGAAGCACTCAGAGCTGGGATCAAAAATTACCCGTAGGATATTGACGTATATATTCCTTTCCTTTTTTGATTTTAGTTTGACAATGGAATACGAGACGGGTCGTCCTTAATATACCCCGAAGAGATAGTTGATGCTATCCGAAACTTTATCCTGGGGATGTAAAAAATTATACCCCGAGGAGCAGAAAGGTAACAAGACAATTGAAATATGTTGTACGTAAGCTTACATCTTGGAAAGAAAAATTATATGTGAACTGTATTTCTTTTCTTTTCTTCGCAGCGGAAGAGCTTTTATGAAGTCAGTCTAGAGGAGTTGGTGGAAGTCTACAGAGAGGCTGACTTGAGAGATGGCCTACAAGTAAGCATTTTTGCTATTTGTTGTCATTATTGTTTTCTCAGAGGCTTCACATGCCCTATCACATAGTCATGGACTACTCCCTTACAGTCTTATTTTTTCTCCTTTTTGTAGCATTCCCAAGATGGCACCTGCCCGCCAGTGGACAAGAAACCCAAAAATTTGTTCTGTAGCTTTGGATGCAAAACCTATTATTTTATTGTCATTATCATAATATTATATCCATTTCAAATGTTTCACACAAAATAATGTTATTTCAAGAAATATTTTTGTGCAACTGAAGAGCAGAATTTTTTTGTTTGGCAATTTTCTTGTTTTCGTGATAAATATGAATGTGAATCACTTGCTTTATCTACTTCCTACAACCCTGCTCTTTCAGTGATTGGAACAATATATAATTCAACTTCATCATTAGATCATTGAAGTTGCAATGATCATGGTGTCAATTACCATAAAGCTAAATAGGCAAATAAGACTTTGAACTCAGTTGCTGGAAATTAATCTGGGACAAGTATAACAAGGGGGGTGTGTTGGAAAAGATTTTTTTACACCTTCCTTGATCCAGTTACATGGCTTTTCTTTGTCTAAGTATCTGAAAATTCTCCATCCAAAAATAATATTCAATTAATGAACGTGAATTATGTTTCAACTGTGCAAGGAATTTTTCATCAGCAAGCACGTGTTGTAAAATTTTCAGAACTTCATTCAGGCTTTTAATAAGCTCGACTGAAATTCTAAAAAGAAACTCATGTGTGCTTCCTGGTAGAATGAAAACAATCATTTTTTTAACAAACATGGTGAAAGACAATTTAACATATGAAAAAATTCTGAAAAATATTACTACATGCTCCTAGAAACAGTGATTCAAACTCTATTCATGGTAACAATAAATTACCACTTTCCATTCAAAATCAAGCTATTGTGGACTTTTCCTTCGTGAGTATCAACAACAATACTGAAAAGATCACCTTATCAAAATATTTCAACGTAAGCCTACTGGGCTGCACTGATAAAAATATTGTACCTCATTTACTTTTTCCCAAAATAATTAAAGTGTCACTTTGAATGCCTCTTATTTAATGGGCATAACATGCTGATCTACGGAGGTGATCAGTTCCTCCACACACGCTCGTTTTGGAATTGGCCCTAGATGGCCCAGCTGTCACATTGACTTCAGTTCCAGCAGTGTTCTGTAATACTGTTCCCAAGGCCGCATCTTCATCCAGATCATCCCCATCATCCTCATTTCCATAGGTGTGGACAATTCTTTGACGCTTAGTAAATTGATGCCTGATAAAAGACAACAACAAAAAAGAGAGAAAAAGAATCAAATTCTTTGTAAGGAAAAAAGTATTGTTTAAGAAAATTACCACAACTGACCCCCAGGGTGGGGGGAAGGGGGGTGTTGAGGCCTCAAATGTAATAAATGACCCTAAATGTAATAAAGGTCGTAAGTGTAGCAACTTTTGACCCTAAATGTAATAAAGGTCCTAAGTGTAACAACTTTTGACCCTAAATGTAATGAAGGTCCTAAGTGTAATAACTTTTGGCCCTAAATGTAATAAAGGTCGTAAGTGTAATTCTTTCAGCTTTTTATATGCTTTATGTCATAAGACGATTCATAGCGTTTGCTTTTAGCCTTATTACAGGTTAACTGAGTGCCAGAATGTGTTTGATCCCCTATATAGCCATTTGAGAAACAACTTATTATTCAGTTATTGATATCATTATCACTGTTATTTTTATTGTCATTATTAACTGAAAAGAATGTTTAATCGAAGTGAATTGTAAATAGTCCTTTGACCGAATAGTGATTAATTGTAAATAGGTTGAATAGTTAGCATTGTTATCAATAATACTTCTTTAACGACAACTTGAAAACAGAGGTCCATGATATGAAGCTATTTTTTTTAAAGAACTCTTTATTGTCAAAAAAGGACTGATGTATCTTAAAACTTATGTAACAAAACAAAAGAGCCTCGTTTATTATAACAAATTTTCTCAAGAAACTGTAACTTCATCCGTTGGATTGAACAACAAAAAATCTGTTTCATAGGCAGAGGCCAAAATGCAAAATTGCAGCCTGTAGTGCCACCATGATTTCTAATCTGAGTCAATAACACAAATCAGCGAAACTGTTTTTACTTTGTCTGTTAACAAATAGGTGCAAGTAAGTGTACTTTAATTGCTCCCTCATCCTTTCCACCATACATTGGTAACATAAAACCAAGTTCCAACCCCAGCAAACAACAGCTCAACCCACGCCTTTATCCATCTGGGGCTGGCTATTATCTCTCTGCATTGTCTCTGTATGGGCCAAATTCTTTGCACAACTTGCGCAAGCTGAAACAGCCACTTAGCGCAGTGTTGCGATTATTGTAGCTTATTCGTGGTAGCCGACAAATATAACGCATGGAGAGTTCTTTAAAGGGTTCACCAAGCTGGCAAAGGGAATTATAGCTGATAATTATACTTATGTCAGTTCCAGTTAACGCGAAGTCTATTATTTTGTCGAGTATTTCATTTGGAAGTTGACTGAGTGGTTGGACCACCTTTATCATCATAATAACAATCATCATTTTGTTCTTCTCCTCTTCTTCTTCTTCTTCTAAGCTCTAAAAAAAAGATTTTGGGTCTTCAAAGTAGAGTTCCTTATATACTCGCTAGAAAAACAGGAAAGCCAGCTGCTATTTGAAAATGTCATTTCATTCATGTGGTGAAATCCTGGAAAAAAAGTTAGCATAAAAATTCACTTCAAGAAGTACTCCTGGTAGAAATTAAAATCAAAGTCGGGAAGTCAGAAAAACTATAAAGATATACTGCCCTTAATATCTTGCTGTTTATATATAACTTCGTGTTCACAGCATTCTGTATGGACCGACCGACATACTCTTTTGCAAAATGGTAAAAAAAAACATTTCTCTTTTTGGCGCAACATTAAAAACCCCATACATTAGGCAAAAGTAGTCAATTTACCACGATTGTTTCTAATGAACATTAATACTTCCTTCAATTACTAAATAACTACTGTATTTTGAAAACTTTTGTGTAGATTCCATTTGTTTATAACTCGCGTTTCACGATATAGGGACGTAGTAGGAAACACGATCGAGACGTAGTTAAGTGTTTCTCCTACTTCTTCAGCGCTCTAGCCGCTTTCTAAGTTAATGAATATCTATGAAGACTACAATAGGGCGAACAAAGTGAATCACCAGCTGGCTGTAACATTAATATCGTCGCATGTTTCAGTCATGGACTTTATCAAGCTTGGGGCTGTTATATTACATACATGTATACTGTTAAGACTTCTATTATATTTAGGGCTAAAACCGATTACACATATAATTAGACCCTTCATTACATTTAGGGTCAAAAGTTATTACACTTAGGACCTTTATTACATTTAGCGTCATTTATTACATTTGAGGCCTCAACAGTGGTACTCCGGATTTTAAGTGACAGGGATAATTGATTAAAACATTAATGTTCTACATCTTACAGCTATATCATTATCGATAATGTTATTGAGCAGTGTATAATCCACAGCCAAATGAACAAAACTCACCCAAAGCATAGCCAGTGCAATAAATGAACCATTTTCATTGCCAATATAATGAACATGATAGCCTAGCAACTCAATCAAGTACTGTACCTCTTCTTTTGTTCTTGCTGACGCTTTTGTTTAAAGGCCACTCTCTTCTGCTTGGCCCTGTCTGTTTTCTGATTTTCCAGTCTCCTCATCCTTTCTTCATCTTCTTTGCAGTCACTGCCTCAATGCCGTCCACAGTAGGCAATCCTATCTTTCCAAATAACTTCAAAACTCAGTGATAAGTAGTGCCTTTGCGCTTTTTAAGGTATGTCATGTTACTCTGACAAAGGCCCATATTTGTTGATACTTCATAATGAATTTGGTGGAGGTTCGTGTCCTTAGGTCTGAACTTTGTGAGGACACTAAATTTACTTTCGGGTAAATTGGAATGGCCCTTCCCCACTACTGAATGTACGACCTCCGTTGCCTTCTCTGCAATCCGATTGCACTCAATCTTGTAGAGAAGGCTGTGGAGTTCACATGTAAGTGCCCTCCCCCTGACCTTATAGGGCTTACCCTCACAACTGTAATTAGTATTGTATTCCCCATCACTGTCTTCACCATCTTCACTATCCTTGCTACCTTCGATGCTGCCATCTTCACTATCTTCCCTACCCTCCTCCGGATCTACCTGCCTTCCTGTTCCACTATCTGCACTGTCGACACTATCCTGTTTGTCACATTTGCCACAAGAGCAAACATGTCGGGGGTGCCAAGGACATCTGTGTGTTTTGCCATCATCTCCAATCCACTCATGAAAGTCACGGGAATGATATTTCCCCAGAATACGCATACGATTGGCATATTCCTCTGGGTCATTCCCAGCCTAATTCAGTGCTGAAAAGTGGTTGCTTTTAACTCTAGCCAGAAATTCATCTGACATACAACCACAGGTTTTCGAGTGGGCTCGCTTGCCAGCACACTCACATTTTGCTTTTCCTAGCTCAGGACAATCCTTCTGGTGAGTGGCCACAACAGACAAATCCACAGACTTTTTCTCCTTATATTCCTTAAGGTTGTTGCCATGTGCACGACCTACATGACCTCCACAAAGCATGACACGGCTAAGGGAGTTGTCAGGGAACACAAAGTGAAATGATTTTGCTGACAAGGAGTCAGCATCTTGCCAATTTATGGCAACCACCATACCCTCCTCTTTAGCTTTAGTGAAACAGACCTCAGCTAGATGACCCTCGACTGCCTTTGAAGTACCCTTCCAGAGATCTGAATCATATATGTTGTTTGAGCCCCTCATAACAGAATGACCATAATATAACGTACATTCAGTTAAGAAATTAATAACGACAAAAGTACAACATTGGCTATGAAGTCCTCTAATAAGCCAGCAGCCATCAGAAGTGGTCACAGCTTTCTTCCAGCTGCCAAGCTCTGAGTGGGGTTTGTCTTTCATTTCACTTTTGCCCATTGAACAAATCCCATCCAAAAAAGATTTCACACACGGATGAGCCAATTTAACCATATTATAAAAACTAACGTGAGAAAGGGTGTGAATTCCCAAACCTAACTTGAGAATTTTGTGATAGGAAGGGTAACCATGCCCCTAGATGAGGAAGCACAGACCTAAGGCAAGCGACACACAGTTTCTTCTTCGTTCCGTGAGGCAAACCATGCTGCTTGCATAATGGATTCTTTGCCCACAGCCAGTACATGCGAGCATGACCTTTATGGCCCCTCCCAGACCTTTGTTTTCTGTGCAAACTGGTACCAATAAGCCTGTTGAAAGGAAAATTGGCCATTACTCTTTATTGACAGACTATTTTGAATGTTTCAAGTTTGTTTGCAGTTTATGACTTAGAACAACAGTGGATTTTAACAAATAGATATGGTCAGTCATGGGACTCATCTTTTGATAAGTCATGAGCTCCTCTGTATTACAGTTCACTGAAATAAAATAAAACTCCTCCTTTTGTAAAGCACAACAAAGAGTAAAAGAAACAAGCCTCATTTAAAAGGAGCCACAAGAACAGCCCAGAAATCCCCCTAACAAGACATCCAACAAACACAAATTCAGGTCAATCATTTGATCTTTGCCTCGTACAGGAGACATACGAAAATTTTGCTTCATTGGGGATTTTCATCCATCAGGGACGCATTTTGCAGAGGTAATAAAATCACTGGAACAAGGCAATTACATTTTGGATGAAAAATTTTATGCCGCTTACCATTACATCCTAGGGTTCTGCAGCGACGTGTAGAGTTTAACTGGTCCAAATGACTACCCAGCTGGTTTGTCATCCCAACAAAATAGTTGATGGGCAGTTCAATGCCCTCTTGACTTTACAAATTTATTCTAAATAAAATAATGAGTAAAAAATATCATATAAATCATGGGATCGTTCTTTGAAAGGGAGAATGGAAAACAGCACAAAAATACAGGAACAAAATGAGCAATATCTCACACAGAAATGAAGGGATAAAAGATATCAATAAATATTATAACTACAGTTTTCTTTGTATCATAATTATAATGAAAACTTTCTATGGCTCAAAATTTTGTGCTATAGGAATATTCATCCATACATTAGAGAAAATTTCAAACAGGAACTCAGCTGATTTTAATGCCATCTCTGCAATGTCTTTGTTACTGCGTCCTCATAAGTAGTTTGGTAAAAACCATTCCATAAAATCAGCGTCGAAGCGTCTTCCACTTAGTGCATGGGCAATCGTGTTTATCAGTTGTGGAATAGCCCAAATAGGTACATTACTGTAACAAAGTAATCAATAATATAACTCTTATTTTATTATTGTAGTAACTTTGTGGACAATGTGTCAAATATCCAATTTTTTCATTGCAAGCTCCTTATTGGTTAAGTAAGCTACAAGAGCAAAAGACTTTTGTGACTTTAAGCAAAGACTTTTATCAAAGGGTCTCAAGGACCTAAAAGACGATTACCAAAGCAAAAGTCAACTTAAAAACAATGAATACTTCTGTGTTAGGTATTCTTTCTGATTTGTATCTTTCCTACTTAAATTCAAAAGTTTAATATTTTTCCTACCATCGTAATATGGAATGAAGTATCTCAATTTTCTTTTCAGTAAAAACTTGCAGGAACTCTTGCATCTTTTCTCCAAGGTCTGTGTTGTCTGATACATGGAACAGAAGATCACTCAACTGAGTTAAGGTTGCCT